GATTTAAGGTCCCTCATGAGTAGTTTAAGAGTATGTCCTAAAAGAACAAACTCGTCAAATAAAAAATAATGCGTACATTTAAATGCTCACAAAACTAAACTAAACAACTGAGAAAATATTTAACATAAATAAGTACAATAAAATCTACTTACTACTAAATAATGGCTATAAACAACAGGAACAGGAATATACTACGAGCAACAGGACTAAAACACAGACAAAAACTAAACAAGACAGACATATGAATAGATGTGAGAAACGGGAGTAGAATTATGCTGACCTATATAGCAAAAAGTTTTCTTAAATATTGATCACAACTATAAATCTAGACGATATCGACTCAAATACAGTAACTTCAGTTTGCGCTTAAATACATAAATACTGACCGATTGCGCTATTCTTGGTTCAAGGGAATTCCAAAACCTAGGTCCAGTGGACCCCAAAGTAGTAAGGGCATCTGTATGCGCAAGATAGTGAGTCTTGGGAGACATGAGTATTCAGGAAACTTGAAGAATTCTATTTCCCTGAAACCATGTTTCTTGTATACATATCAATTCATAATAATCCTTGTGTGTATTCAAGTAATTCATCAGTTCTTTTCCATGCCCTAGTAGTCCCTGTGCATTCCATTGTAGTATGGAAAACAATAATACCAATGTTTTCACTGTGGGATTATGGTGTGTGATATACACAATCATAATAACGGTCTATACATCTTTAAATCAACCATCAATTCATTATCACATCAAACAATAGCATAGATTATTCTATGACTATAGCAGCAAATTTAACTTGAATAAATTCATTATGAGGATGCTAGGCACATTTACATAAACATGACATGAAAAACGAAGAAAGAGACTTCCTCTTTGGCATCATAGTCAGTTGTCATTTTGCCAAAAAGGCTGTTTGGGAAATTTGGTAAGGATATGTCCGGAAAAAGGATGTCACTACTTAGACTATTAACTTTGTTTCCGGATTTTAAAATGGGTTAAAAGTTACCTTTCAGGCGGTTCAGGAATGGTAATTTCGGTCTTTTTAATAATTCTTTAAGAACATTTTTTTCTAAAATATTTAAAAATGCATTAGAGATATGTCATTTTTAATCTTCGCACATAAATTATATTAGGTATGATTTTATTGAAAAGATTATGCAGAAAATTCACATTTATAGCTATTGTAGGCCTTTTCATTTCAAACTATTTTTTACGGTGAGTATGTGAAATTGTTATCTGCTCTTATGAAAGTTTTCGATAGTTTTAGACCTTGATCGACGTGTTTGTTAGTGGCAAACTGTCGATATACATCGCAAAGTTCATTGTATACTTTATTTGATAATGTATTAATGAAAAGATTGATATGATAAGAAATATCACGGATATCTTAAAATATATAACGTAAATAGATACGGAATACTTAAATATTACTAAAATACTTCCAAAAAGCAAATGTATAAACATGTACGATCTGAGATTTGTCTATGTTCATTGTAATCCATGAAATGTTTTTGTATTGTACGTAGATCTTTGTATTACATACTGTGATAATTCTTTTGTAATGTGAATTTTATGAGGAAGGAAATTTCCGGAACAGGTTGCATGCAGTGTGGGTGTGTTGCTGTGCAGCCAACGTCTTTAAATTATACACTACTTGGGCATGTACCTTATATATATATATATATATATCTATATATATATATGACTACTTGGGGAGTATTTAAAATGAACACTTATTTTATCAAGTCAAAGATATTTACTTCGATGAAAATTGTCTTTTTGTTTACGGACTCACAGACGTAATCATGGTAGGGGATTGTACAAATACATGTTTGTTCTCATCAGAGGTTTATATCAAGTGTATTTTCGATCTAGCGCCATCTTTGTCGGGCCTAAATGCCAGTTTGGGTCATAACATGTTTGTTGTGCTTCAATTGCTAATGATATTTGACAAAAACATGTTACACATAATTATTTTCAATGATGCTCCTTCGCGTCCTTTTCCAATTTGGTTACGTGCATCCCATGGGCTGTATGAGCTGTAAACATTCTCAAACGATAGAAGTCAATGGGAGTTCACTTCTTTGTCCGCCCATAAATTTCTTGAAAGGCGCCCTAGTTTCTTTGTATAGGCCATCATTGTCTTTGATGCAAATATCACATCAGTATGCAGTTGAGGCCTTCCAACTTTACGCTATCTGTATCATATTCATTAGCCTGACGAGTGCTATGCTTCAGTTACTTTTACATTGTGCATATGGAAAAGGTATGCTTTGCAAGATATTTCAATCTGATGCTCGCCTTTGCCTCATGTTTTTCAACAGAATAATTATCATTCTTATGCAAATCTTAATCTATCAAACAGAAGAAATCTTTAAGATTCGAAGTATAGTCAGACGTATGATGCAAAGTAATGTATTACATTCACTAGGTATCGAAACAGATATGCATTTCTCAGAACTATCTTATTTCCGTTCCAATACCAATTATTGTTATGGTGTGTCGATACGGTTCACATTTCAGCTGTTTATGCATTTGTCATCAACGATAGATATGCAAATAGTTCTTATGCAAATGTTACATTCATGAAATGTTTTTGTATCGTACGTAGATCTTTGTATTACATACTGTGATAATTCTTTTGTAATGTGAATTTTATGAGGAAGGAAATTTCCGGAACAGGTTGCATGCAGTGTGTTTGTGTTTGTATGTGTGTTTATGTGTGTGAAATGGGGTGTGGTGTGAGTGGGCTAGAGGGGGGGGGGTGTTATGAGTTTGTTGGTGTGAGAGTGTTGTGACAGGATGGTAATATGTAACTTTAAACTTTCCTCTACTCTTATTTTGATTATACACTGTTACATGCAATACTTTTTTTTCTTTTTTTTCTCTATGTTCATTGATTGATGTAACTCATGAAATGTCTTGTATCAAAGATCTTGTTTTACATTGCTTATTTTGATAATTTCTTGTTATGTGAATTTCTTGTTATGTGAAATTATGAGGAAGGAAATGAAATATCATTTAAAACAAAAAATATGAAAAACCCTGAGCTTCCGGGGGCTCTGCCCCCTGGACCCCACCAAGGACCCTAAGGCGGGCTCCTGGATGCTCATCTGACTGTAGTTAAATGCCCCCTGGACCACATCAATGGCCTTAAAAAAGGCCCCTGCACAGGAGCGGATCCAGGCGGAGGCAGGGGAGGGGCCCAATTCTTGAGAATGGCGTAATAGCCGACCGATAAATCGCTCAGTGAGGGAAGGAGGGGGGAGGGAGAGGTAGTGAGCACTCATTTTTTTTTTTTTTTTTTGGGGGGGGCTCCCAAAAATTTGAAAACTCGCACCCTCCCCCCCCCCCCTCCCTCTTTAGACGCCAGGGGAGGGAGCCCACCTCCTTAAAAAGGTAAAATTAACGTGTTTTTACACTTTTATTTTCCCACTCCCATATTATGTCAAAACAAACACTTGTTGGAGAATGATCCCTTAACGACATGTTTGATGCTGCGCCTGTGTAGACCATCTGTATTTATCAACTAACGTGGCCTAGCAAGGGCCATGGTCATGGATGATGTTTGTTATGTAAATCAAGAATTGTTGATGCCGATGGGTAGACTAGACCCCACTTTGATTGCAACTTTCACATTTAATGAAAAGTAAACTTAATATTTATCAGAGTTTGCTCGGACTCTCGGAAACCTCATGACCCTTTTTCTTTATTTTTATTTTGCTTTTATTGAAAGGGAAGTCCACCCTGATGTGAAGTTAGTTGTAATAGAAGCAGACAAATAAAGTTTAAGTAAAATCAAATAAAACAAAGGAAGGTTAGGATTTCATGAATGTGTCATTGAACAAAAACAATTTGACAGCTCTATGACTTATTATCTTGCACAAATTCCTCCTACTTGCTTTGTACTACAAACGAATCAGAAATTTTGGTTTCCCTAATACAAAGAAAATGTTCAATCATGCATTCACCCTAAATATAATCATTGCAAATGTGTTCCTACACCAACCCTATTTTTAACAAATCTGTTCTTAGATGCTGCTTGTAAGTATCGGCTTGCATGGTGAGTGTAGATATACAGTAAGCTTGCGGATGCACCATGTGTGAGAGAGAGGGAGGATTGAGGAGTCCTGAAAGAACTCTCGGCAATCTTTCTTGAGGGTGTGTTGTCCTGAAAAGGGCTGTTGGTGAAGTCTTGAAAGAGTCTGTTGGTTATCTTTCTTAGCTTATAGATAATAACTAAGAAAATGAAAGTTGATGACATTTCTTAAAGATAAAGACCAGTAATGGTCATGCGATTGCATTGTGAAAGAAACGTTGTGGAATCGATCAGAAAAGGTTGATCATTTAGCATATAAGAATTGGTGTGTACTGCAAGGTTCTAGAATCATCAACATGATAAGAAATGTGGCCTAGTCTTCGTAAAGTTACAAGCACTGTACACAGAAAGAAGTATATGGGACTACGCACACGTGCGCAACATGTGCGTTTATCTCTTACATCCCAATAGATAAACTAATTTACCAAATATATCAATTAGTAGGCGGTTTCCCGGCAAAATTGTTATCACCATGTATTAGTCAAAACATTAAAAAATCACTTTTGTTTTGCTCTAAAAATAATTTATTGATGACTTCACACTTGACCGTTCTATAAGTCATACAAAGTAATCTGGGGTTGCTTACAATCTCAAATACTCTATTTATTTATATTTTTATTTTTATGTGTACATGTTTTACCCTTTAATTTCACTTGCAAGGGCTCTAACTTTTGGTTTAATGTTGAGCATGTTACTTTTTTATTATGTTTTTATTTTGATTTCGTGAACATTTACATTAAACAATAATAAATAATGTTCACATTTCCTTTGAAAAACAAAGGCAGTATACACGTATATTAAGTCTTTTTCTTCTAACTTTTAGTCAAACAACTACTTTCCTTCTTTCACATCAGATTTTAACAATTTACTTGTGCCTTATGAATATTTTTCTCTCTATTCATTAGGTGTCAAACCGATGGCAGTTTCAGTGCCACTGCAGCCACCATCAATGTTATCAATTACCTGTAAGTATTGGCTGAGATATTTCTATCTAAATGAATTTATTTCAATAAAAAATCACTTTTGTTTTGCTCTAAAAATAATTTATTGATGACTTCACACTTGACCGTTCTATAAGTCATACAAAGTAATCTGGGGTTGCTTACAATCTCAAATACTCTATTTATTTATATTTTTATTTTTATGTGTACATGTTTTACCCTTTAATTTCACTTGCAAGGGCTCTAACTTTTGGTTTAATGTTGAGCATGTTACTTTTTTATTTTGTTTTTATTTTGATTTCGTGAACATTTACATTAAACAATAATAAATAATGTTCACATTTCCTTTGAAAAACAAAGGCAGTATACACGTATATTAAGTCTTTTTCTTCTAACTTTTAGTCAAACAACTACTTTCCTTCTTTCACATCAGATTTTAACAATTTACTTGTGCCTTATGAATATTTTTCTCTCTATTCATTAGGTTTCAAACCGATGGAAGTTTCAGTGCCACTGCAGCCAACATCATCACAGATGTACACAAACGTTATATCTCTGCCCGATGTCGGACCGATGACAATGCTACGGAGGCCGCCACCACAAACACGTGTGTACCAAGACTTTGTATTTCAGCGCATGGGAATGAAACCAGTGGAAGCCTTGGCTGGAATTGGACATGATCTTGGTAAAAGACTTCGTGATCATGGCTTTTCTTTGGTAAGGACACATGAAGCACTGAAACAATCTGAAATAAGAAAATGATAGTAACATTTTGAAATTCAAACAAAGAAAAGACCGGGTGATTTGTGCATTTACTAGTTGAATTTATTAAGTTTGCCCCAAAATGACATTGTTTTGAAACTGAAGAAATTATGTGCAATAGCAAACTGAGCAAAGAGACTTGTTAGAATCAAATGAAGTTGCATTGTAAAACACGTCTTATTCCCGGAAAGAAATGTTTGATAAGCTTTGTTAAGTTGATGTGCCAAATTTGCAGACATTAATCTTGGAGTTTCATTTTCACCATAATACAAAACGTCAACAATAATTTGTACACACCTATTTCATAAACATGCAATATGCAACATAGTTTATATGTAAATCTGTTGTAAAACGTAAGAAAAATCAGTAAATCAATTCTTACCAAGAAATTCTCAGATAAAGTGAATGTCACTGTCATACATGTAAATGTGATTTATTTTGCATTGTTCATCTGAAAACCCCTCTCTAACCGTTACCAATGTACCATACATTGCCTATATCCCTGGTTGCTTTGAAAAAGAACAAAGAAAAAAAAAACAGACACAACGAACACGACAAAACAACAACACATATAAAAACCAGTGCCATGCATACCAGTGATTTTAAAAGTATATCATATGTCATCTGAAATTATTTTGTCTCTCTCTTTCCCCTTTCTTTCTCCCCAATCCCCTCCCCTTCTCTCTCTCTCTCTCTCTCTCTCTCACTCACTCTCTCTCCTTATTTTTATTCACAGGCCTGCCAAGTCTTCGAAAAGTTCTTAGAGCTGAAGGGAGATGAAGTTGAGTTTTATTTGTGGTTGTGGAACTTAGCAAAAGCAAGCTGGCAGTGCAGTTCAGATTGTTATTTTTGTTTAGTTGGGTATTATGACCAGCAGCGCAAACGCAGTATTTTATCAACGACTCAGCCCGCCGCTATATGCGGCTCGTACTGATCTACGCATATTTACCAAAACAGAATTTTGTTAAATTTCGGAAAACTAATAACTTAGTAGATGTGTGGAGAAAAATGTTTTCAGAGAGGAAACAGTTTACGTGGAGGCAGCTGTCACTGAACATTTACTCAAAACTAGATTATTGGCTCATGTCGAAAGAGCGTTTTTCATATATTTATTCAATTGACATAAAACCAGTGTTGAAATGCGATCATAACGGGGTATCCATGAAACTTAAAATATTTGCACAAAGTAGGGGAAAGGGTTGTTGGAAACTGAATAATTCTATCCTGAAGGATGAAGTGTTTAAGGAAAATGTTAAACGTATTATTCGTAAGGTTAATATTGAATGTAGTCAATTTGATAAACAACTAAGGTGGGGAATGTTTAAAATTAAAATTAAAGAATTTAGTACAAAATATACAGTTGATGTTAATACAAGAAAAAATTAATATATTGCTAATATGGAAAGTGAATATGATAACTTGTGTAAGAAAATAGATGAGGGTTCATGTGCATATGATACAGATAGAATAAAGTGTTTGAGACAAAAGATAGACAAGTGGTATGAATATCAGTGCAAAGGTGCATTTGTGAGATCTCGGGCGAGGTGGCTTGAATTAGGTGAAAAGTCAACACGATATTTTCTTCAGCTTGAAAAAGCTAAAAGGAAAACAAAAGAAAAAGATTGTCTTGAAAGTAACGGGAAAATTATCAAAGATGAACAGAAAATGTTGACAGGTATACGAGAATTTTATTGTAAACTCTATAAGGGATTTAAAGAATACGTATCTGATATCAACTTAAATGTTTTGAATGAAGAAGATGCATATTTATGTGAGGGAAAAATCACAGAGAATGAATGCTGGGAAGCATTGAAGTGAGGGTTACGACAAACAACAATTGTCGTGCTCACAAAGGCAAGCTATCCTTACTCTTTTATATAAGAAAGGTAACAAAAATGTTTTAGATAATTGGCGACCTATTTCGCTGCTAAACATTGATTATAAACTTGCAGCTCGCATTCTTTCAATACGATTACAGAAAGTTATATGTAAACTTGTTTCACAGGATCAGGCTGTTGTTTTTTTTTAAAACCGCTCTGCATCTGAATGTACCAGACTAATTCAGGATACTATTGATCATTGTCTTTTTGCAAACAAACCAGTTGTTATGATGTTCTTGGATTTCAAAAAAGCGTTCGATACCATTGGTCATGTTTTTTTTATTTTCCTTGTTACGGAAACTTAAATTTAAAGATTCGTTTTTAAGATGGATTGAAACGTTATATAATGGTGCTCATGGTCGTGTCTTAAATTTTGGTTGGATATCCGACAAATTTGTAATATAAAGAGGTGTTAGGCAAGGTTGCCCACTTTCTCCATTTTTATTTATAATAATTGCAGAGGTTTTAGGGAAAAGAATTAAACAAAACGCCAAAATAGAGGGAATCCAAGTCCCAGACTTCAATGAAGATCAAGCTGATTTTAAATATATACGTATCGTTCAATATGCAGACGATTCGACGATTATTACTAGATCTGTTAAATTTGTTAAAGAAATAATGAAAGAAGTAGAACTGTTTGGAGCACATGCGGGACCAAAAATTAACTGGACCAAATCAAATCTTATGAAACTAAATATAAATGACGATGAAGTTGAAGATTTACATTTCACCGAAGACCCTATAAAATGTCTTGGTATTTATGTAGGTAAAAATTCTTTTGACGTTCAAAATTTAAACTGGAAAAGTAAAGTAAAGAAAAGAAAGAATACCTTGGATTTATGGAAAATGAGAAAACTTACATTGTGCGGAAAAGTTGTTGTGATTAAACATTTAGTTATGTCTCAGATAGTACATACTGCCACGGCAGTTCCGATTGCTTCTAAAAATATTTAAAGGTATAAATAAACTAGCTTACACATTTTTATGAAATTCTAAAACACAAAAGGTGAAACGAAACATCTGTCACAATCCTGAAGTAGAAGGGGCGTTGGGAATGATCGACTTAGAGTCAAAATGCCGGTCACTCCGTCTTCCATGGATTCATAAATATTTAAGAGATGAACAAAGTGCTTGGGAAATTTTGTTTTAATATTGGATCAAGAAAATTGGGGATTTGCCACTTTGCATTTTAATTGCAAAAAGAGCGATATGTATCGTATTTGTAGAAAAAAACAGTTGCCTAACTTTTATGTTGACATATTTTGTTCTTGGGCTGAATTAAAATATATTGATATGTTTAAAGTAACAGATATTGAAAATGAAATGATTTGGTATAATAGCAATATTAAAGATATTAATGAGTTATTGTATTTTCCAAACTGGATGAGAAACAATATTTTTAAAGTGAAACAAGTCTTAGTAAACGGTATCTGGAAAGAAGCTGATTTTATTTGTATTAATTTTCAAGAAAATAAATTAGTTTCCGCCTTCAAATTGGCAAAGTTAAAAAGTGCATGTCCGAATTTTTGGTTGCAGAAATTACGTAATAGGTTACAATATGTAAATAGTCCACCGTCTGCAGTGGAATCAAGTACAATAGAAATAGTAACAGGTGACTCCATTGATGTAGCGGTCATGAAAGCCAAACATTATTATAATTTGATGTTAGTAAAAAATAGACAGAATCTGCCGTGCATTTATTTTTGGAACGCTTATTTTGATTTACCCAATGAGTTTAACTGGAAAACGTTGCTCCATTATAAATTTTACTTTATAAATGATAACAGAATTAAGCAGTTTAATTCTAAATATCTTCATAGAATATTGCCCAGTAAAGACAATTTATGTAAATGGAAGATTAAAAATAATAATCTATGTGATATATGTAAGATTACAGACACAACTAACCACCTTCTCCTGGCTTGCAAGAAGGTTTCGCTTTTTTGGAAGATTGTATCCAAATTAATTGATACTTCGTTTAATTTTAAAATCTTTTTGAACGAAAAAAATCTTTTAATAGGTTATGAAATAGAGAGAAGAGAAATGAATCTTGTCAATCTTATTTTAAACTTCGCTCAGTTTATTATCTATAGAAACTATATTAGAGAATGTTTTGGAAGTGAAAAGCACAGGAAACATGCTGTATATTTGATAAAAGAATTAAAGGTGGAAATTCGAACCTATCTCAATATGAAATGTAATCAAAAGAAATTCGATACAAACGAAGTTACAAAAGTTACAAAAATGTTTTCATTATTTTAGTTATTTATTATGTCACATTAGTTTCATGTTCTGTACTATGTATGATATGTTACAAAAATGCATGAATTTTGTATTTAAACACTGTTGTAAATAGCTGTTGTGAATGTGTTGTGTTGTAAATACTTTGTTGTGGTTATCCCATGGATAATATTGTTTCCGAAGTTTTAACAGTACAAGTTCTGCATATTATATCGATGCATCTAAATATAAATCATACATGGGAGAACCCAAAGGAGAGACATCTTGTACATTCCCGTGTAATCCCGAACTCCTAAAGCTTAAAAAGTAATTTGAAGAAAATGGATGATCGTTAATAACCTAAGCTCTACGGAAACGCAATTACTTGGCCTATATATTTCTTTATGTTCTTTTAGATAAATTTTAGTGCTGGTCAATCGAGTACATTGTCTTTAAAAGGATTAATTTGCATTGGGTCTTTAGGAGAAGGATGAATTTTAGGAAAGGATGAAAATAGTTTGTTATCTTTTTCATTTTTGTTATTTCAGTGAACCGGCAATTTTCGTTTTCCTTTCATTTGTATAACTGTTTCAAACAACTGTCTTCTCATTACACTGGGGGGGGGGGGATTACGTCTTGATATTAAACATGGTCGATTTTAATGAATTTTCGCGTTCTTCTTGGTAAAACCAAAGACTTTTCTTATTTATCATATTAAGTAATCATCTATCCATATCTTGCGAAGAGACAGTAAAAAGGGAGATCAAATGTTATGCGGTTGTAAACTTAAGCGGACTATATTGGTATTACCAGCATTGCCATCCAGGCTTGTAACGTGGGGAAGTTCTAGATTTTCACCATGTGAACGACAGCTGTACATGTAGTATTTATTCTTAATATAATGTTAAAGAAAAGAGTCGATTACTTTGTAATAAAACAAAAAAAAGGTTAAAATTCGAGTACTGCACGAAAGGGGAATTTCTAGAGTACTTTATCATGACTACCAACACTGACTTCCCTCTCACTCTTTGATGTTCTATGTGTATTACGATGTGTATGTATTACAAGAAAACTGGGGATTTCCACATGCGTATCCGGAAGAAACGAATCGCGTCGTTGTCGATAGAACTCTCACTGTGAAATAACGAACAAGGTAGTTCCCACTCAATTTTTGTTCTATATTAGATCTGGCTTGAGGTCATGAGACAGAAGCCATTACACATCTCCCAGATGGTGCGGAAGGCTTAGGTCAAGTTAGGTCATACCTTACAGGTCCTTTAAGTGCCATCGTTGGGCTATCAAGTTGCATTTAACCGCCTGGCTTCTTGTGATTGGTTCATTCCCATGTACGAGTGGCTGTACTCAACCTAGGAACTTACTTGTTCGTCATTTCACAGGTGATATGTCGGGGCTGTATCTAAGCGTTTTGTAATTGATATTAATCATTACTTCTAATTTTTGCAAGCATTGTATTTTGATAACCTTGTACAATCAAAGTTTCACCTTTGCAATAATGACAATAAAGTTAGCTTTAAAAATCAATTAACCTCCTCTTTGAATTGTGAATATATAAATACGATGAGGATCGATGAAATTAAATTAAATGTCAGAATTGAACATCTATAAAATTGCTTTAGCACATCTAAAAATACTTCAACTAAACTATAATATAATCAAATTCCACCTAAAAAAATAGCACTTTTTTAAAGTGTCTTGCAAGTATTTTTGAGCAGATTTTCACAAGACATTTATCTCTGAATTTTCGTTTATCCTTGTTGGCCCGAATTCACAAAGGAGGTTTGTCGACAAACCTTGGTTTTCGTACGTCATATGACGCGTTTTTACGCGTTTTTTACAAACCTGGTTTGTAAAAATGCGTCATATGACGCAGGAAAAACCAAGGTTTGTCGACAAACCTCCTTAATAGCAAATATATCTACAAATATCAGCTTATCAAATTGCTGTGAAAAACTGTTATTTAGCACTAAGTTACAATTACTCTATCAATCAAAGATAGGCCTTTCTCGTCATCGAAGCCACTATATATTATAAGGACTCATTTCTAAAGATTTTACGGTTGAGAATTTATCATAGATCTTTACACCTCTAAAAGGCTCTAAAATAATATTAGCTTATCAAATTGCCGTGTAAAGTTATTACTTAGCGCTTGATCTAAATTTAAATTACTCTAGCAATCAAGGATAGGCCTTTTTCGTCATCGAAGCCACTATATATTATAGGGACTCATTTCTTAAGATGTTAAGGTTGAGAGTTTATTATAGATCTAGACTAAAACACCTCTAAAAGGCTCTAATAATATCAGCTTATTTTGTTACTTCTTTTATTGCAGGAATTCTTACCTGAGAACATCACAGCAATTTCTTAAGCTGATATTATTAAGGTCTTTTAGAGGTGTAGATCTAAAATAAATGTTTCAGCCATAAAATCTTTAGATATTCGTCCATATATATAGTGGCTTCGATGACCGTGACGATAAGGCCTATCCTTGATTGATATTTGTAGATAAATTTGCTAAAGGTAGAGATGTTAGAGCTGAAATGAAACATTTGCAAGCCAGCATTTGACAAGATGAGCTCTGATTGGCTGTATGCAAATGAATTCATACTGGAGATCCCGAGCTCAAATGGGAAAAAAATTACGCGCCCGGGAATCAGTGGGTCATCAGTCGGTAACTGTCGGGATGCCGAGCGGAGAAGCTCCCCGATTTCGCCCAGTTTTTACCTAAAATCGACCGGCGACCCACAGGAGATCGACAGGGCACCGCCCAGGCATCGCTGGGGCTCTACAGCCTGCTCGACTTCTCCAAAAATCGTTGGACGATGCTTATATTCCAGCAGGGACCGAGCAGGTTACAAATCGGTTGTTCGCCGCTCTGAGTTGTGACCATAGCTTAAGAGCGTACATTTCGTGCAAAGAGCATTCAAATTTCGCTTATGCCAACTATGGTACCTTAGTGGTCATTCAAATCGTGAATGAGCAAGCATGTTTGAAATAAGTGCATTCAATTTCAAAAAAGTATATTGCGTTTAGTTTCTTAGGGGTCTTTGAAAAGCTTTTATTGCTCAGTTTGTGAAGAATGTAACAGGCTTCATTATTATGAATATGCATTATCTCTGTTCATTCTCATTTGAAAACTCTTTCGGCTAAAAAAAAATAAGCACATGCATATATAACTTGCCATATTACTCATGGCACACACACAGAACAAAAAGTTGTTTACAGTGTGGTCGAATTTTTGGTGAAGTGTCACATCACTGGATCCAAGATGACACTCGGTTACGTTTTCAACTCATCAAATATTGTACAAATATCACATTTTTCGTGGCATGTCCAAAATATATAAATGCATATACCAAGATATGCCTAAGATAAGAACATTTCAAAAGTTGTGTTTATTTGGTGGTGTACTCGGTGTTGATGTCTGAGTATTGTGAAATTGTGTATGCTGATCTTAGGATGGGTGAAGTAAACTGTCTTTTTCTTGTAGGGGCTGTTACCCGTGTTTGATAATGTGTGATTTCATCAGCAAAGTAAATCTTTATAGG